GTTGTCAGAAACTAATGGTTTTTTTATCCGATGGTTCGACGCCAAATCAATAAACAACCGGAAGAGTCTTTGGGAAGTTCATTTTTCTAAGGATGGAGTGGGTAAAATATACATAAGTGCAAAAGTTCAACCTTTAATAAATTTATTGTAAAATGAGGGAACAACTAATCTGAATGTATGTAACTAATCTATTGTAAAGAAAATCAAATAAATAGTTCGTTAGGATATTTAGTTCACAGATTTTACAGTTGTTTGAGTGAAAAGCCCAATAGGTGATGTTCTTTATTTCATCCATTATCGATACACATTTTCATCATTATTGACTATAGTTCAGAATTTTTTTTCATCATTCATTATTGATTGAAAATGCGAATCATAGATTCTTTAGTTATGAACATTTTGGTAAGATAAATACAAGAAATACAACATGGAATTTAGGAAAACGTTTCTACTTGTTAGCGGAGTCATTTAAAGTAATATATAAGAAAAGGCGATTTATAGATTCTTTAGTTATGAACATCCTTGTAAGATAAATACACGAAATACAACATGGAACTTTGGAAAACGTTTCTACTTGTTAGCGGAGTCATTTAAAATAATACATGGGAAAATGCGAATCATAGATTCTTTAGTTATGAACATCCTTGTAAGATAAATACACGAAATGCAACACGGAACTTTAAAAAGCGTTTCTACTTGTTAGCGGAGTCATTTAAAGTAATATATAAGAAAATGCGAATCATAGGTTCTTTAGTTATGAACATTCTTGTAAGATAAATACACGAAATACAACATGAAATTTTGGAAAACGTTTCTACTTGTTAGCGGAGTCATTTAAAGTAATATATAAGAAAATGCGAATCATAGATTTTTCAGTTATGAACATCCTTGTAAGATAAATACACGAAATACAACATGAAACTTTGAAAAGCGTTTCTACTTGTTAGCGGAGTCATTTAAAGTAATATATAAGAAAAGGCAATTCATAGATTCGTTAGTTATGAACATCCTTGTAAGATAAATACACGAAATGCAACATGGAACTTTGAAAAGCGTTTCTACTTGTTAGCGGAGTCATTTAAAGTAATATATAAGAAAAGGTGATTCATAGATTCTTTAGTTATGAACATCCTTATAAGATAAATACACGAAATACAACATGGAACTTTGGAAAACGTTTCTACTTGTTAGCGGAGTCATTTAAAATAATATATGGGAAAATGCGAATCATAGATTCTTTAGTTATGAACATCCTTGTAAGATAAATACACGAAATGCAACATGGAACTTTGAAAAGCGTTTCTACTTGTTAGCGGAGTCATTTAAAGTAATATATAAGAAAATGCGAATCATAGGTTCTTTAGTTATGAACATTCTTGTAAGAAAAATACACGAAATACAACATGAAATTTTGGAAAACGTTTCTACTTGTTAGCGGAGTCATTTAAAATAATATATAAGAAAATGCAAATCATAGATTCTTCAGTTATGAACATCCTTGTAAGATAAGAACACCACATGCAATATGGAACTTTGGAAAAGGTTTCTACTTGTTAGCGGAGTCATTTAAAGTAATATATGAGAAAATGCGAATCATAGATTCTTTAGTTACGAACATTCTTGTAAGATAAATACACGAAATACAACATGGAATTTTGGAAATCGTTTCTACTTGTTAGCGGAGTCATTTAAAGTGATATATAAGAAAATGCGAATCATAGATACTTCAGTTATGAACATTCTTGTGAGATGAATCGCATTTTCTCATATATTATTTTAAATGACTTTGCTAACAGGTAAAAACGTTTTCCAAAATTCCATGTTGTATTTCGTGTATTTATCTTACAAAAAATGTTCATAACTGAAAAATCTATGATTCGCATTTTTTCTTATATTATTTTAAATTTGTCATTCCGCCATCAAGTGAAAATGTTTTTTCCAAACACTTTGAATAAATTATACTCGAACAAAGTACTACGCCATAATTTAAAAGAAAAGCTCCTAAAATATATCGTACATTTGCGCCCTGATGCTCGGATATTCTTTTGTGCTCTCGAAGAGCATTTAAGTTAATGGACTTAAAAGGGTTACTGGTTGAAAAGACAGAGGGAGTAAAAGGGAAAGGAAATGATAATCTGCGTTTTCAAAGCCAGTACTTACCTATACATACAATTTTCATTTTGTTCATGCTTTAATTAATTAATTCAGATAAACACAGTATTTATTTCGTTGCAAATATTTATAATAAAAAACACACAAAGAAATTTTTACTAATATAAGATTGTAGTAGTTTAGGCTTTCGCGGCCATCGTTTGAAGAAATTTCGTTTTTGGTTTGGTTGTAAAACTAAGACTGATCAGTCTAGTGTGAGCAATCGGAGCAAACACACCTCTGAGGATGCTAGCCACTCGTGCTAGCGAAACGTTAGGAAAAAAATCGTTTTCTTTTTTTAATAGTGTTTAATTCTTATATTATGAACTAAAATTGTGCAGATATACAACCACCGGTACGAAAATCGCGCACCTTAAGATTTTGATATATTTTATAGTTTAATATATTGTGTTTTAGTGGACCGATTTTGATGATTTTTTAAACAGTCTGTAGCTCAATTATTTGACTTTTTAATGCCTCTTTTTAAATTAAAATTAAAAGTCATTATCCGCCAATTATACGAAAGAAAACAGAATGTTGATATTTTGGCGAAAGTTTAAAACATCCTGGGTAATTGTTTAACAAAGGAAGAAACTTAAAAACCACTTTAACATTAAGGTGTATTTTTTCTCGATAGTTTTTTTACTTATCTCAATAGCTTTGTTAGATATATTCGCTTTTAAATTCCTTGCTGTCTTAACATATTCGACAGGGTGTTTCTAATTTTCACCAAAATATCAACATTTTGTTTTTCCTTGTATAATTGACCGTTTTTAAATAATTGACAACTTTCATTTTTAATTTAGAAAGAAGTCAGATAATTTAGCTACAAATTGTTTAAAAAATCACCAAATTCTACTAGAACAAAAGATATTAAATTTTAAAATACATCAAAATTTTAAGGTGCCCGATTTCGTGCCGGTGAGTGTATAAAAGAAACCTAAAACTTATATAAAGGTAAAAACTAAACCTTCCAATTGCATGGCGGCAAAGACCCACTTAGGAATTCAATTGAGGGAAAGGCGTATCTGTGGATAAACGAAATAAAACACCTTTACATCCACAAAACCTTGCAGTATTTATTTTTAGACATGTGGGATACTTTTAGAGTCTTAGAGAACAGATTTAATTTACTCAGAGTTATATTTATAAGTTATGTTAAAAATAACAGTATACAGGGTATTTCTAAACAAATGCGAAAAACTTCAGGAGGTGATTCCTTGTTCAAAATAAAGGGTAGTTTGCTTCATAAACGCTGGGTCAAAAGTCAACCATTAGGGAGATATCGCGGTACAGAGATGGCGGAAAAATAATGTTTTTATTTTTTATCTTGAAAACGAAAAGAGATAGACTAATGAAATTTTACGGAAGCATTACTGTTATGAAAACACACATTCTGGTAATTTTTTCACTTTTTTAAAATGAGTGGAAGGGGTTGAAATAAACTACTCCTATCTATTCTTGTTAACGAAATTTAAAGAAAAATCTTATCAAACACATGCAAAAAAATTAATTTGGATAGTTTAGTTTGTTTAGAAACTTTTTCATCACTTGTATTTTTTTTATAAAACTCACCGATTTGAAATTAAAAAATAAAATGTAAAGCATTACATGTCAGGACTAAAAATATTTTTAGATTAAGAATCTAGTGATAATAATGATAATAATAATAATCTAGATAATAACGTATTGCAGTAGAGTAATGTCAAATAAAACAATATTAGAAACATCCTAAAAAGTGACAGCGGCCGACTAGATTTTTTCCTAAAAAAAATTACACCTGCCCACTAGATTCTTTATCTAAAAATGTTTTTTGTCCTGACATGTAATGCTTTACATTTTATTTTTTAATTTCAAATCGGTGAGTTTTATCAAAAAAACACAAGAGATAAAAAAGTTTCTAAATAAACTAAACTATCAAAATTATTTTTTTTCCATGTGTTTGATAAGATTTTTCTTTAAATCTCATTAACAAGAATGATAGGGATAGTTTATTTCAACCCCTTCCACTCATTTTAAAAAAGTGAAAAAATTTCCAGAAAGTGTGTTTTCATAACAGTAATGCTTCCGTAAAATTTCATTAGTCTATCTCTTTTCGTTTTCAAGATAAAAAATAAAAACATTATTTTTCCGAATATATCAATTATCATTCCTCCTTGTTTATTATGTATAATACTATTTTTTCTGTCTACTACTTTCTTGTACATTACTTTAGTTTTTGCTAAATTAATTTTGAGACCTACTTTGTTGCTGTATTCTATACGTTAATCTTTGCTTGTATAAGTATTCTATATGATTATTTTTATGACTTACATTTTTACAAGTATAATTTCCTAAACTTTAGAAATTATGTAAAGAACATAGCGTAATTCTAAGACATTACAAATTAGATTACACTCCCAATCAATTTTAACAAAAATATGGGGGGTAAAATATACACTCGGGCGTCTACCTGGACTTTCCTTATCTCGAAAATTAACCGGAAATTAAAGTTCATCAGAGAACAATGCGGTTGTTTTGTGCTGGCTAACTCGTTTTAATGGCAAACATGGATCCGTACAAGTCTATTGTTACGGATTTATGGAAGATTGCGGTTTAATGCAAAACATATCTGGCATTAACGCACGAACGGCTTTTGGATAAACCCTATTAAATTTTAATAATTTCATTTGGGCTTATCGCAGTTTATTCTTCTCTTTCCACTGAATAAAACTGGACAATATGTGCATTCATAAAATACGGCAAATTATAATAAACGACATATTAACATTAATTAAAAACAAAAATAATTGTTAACCATAATATTTGAAAAGAAATATTTTCTCAAAATATATTTTCGTTTGTTGCAGAATCTGAAGAACCAAATTATGACCACAAACTTATGGGTAGAACAGGTAAGCATGTATTATTAACGATTATTTTCTTTATAAAATTAATTTCGAGTGGATGCTATAAGGTTATTTTGTATTTAAATTAATTTAGAGATTCTGGAAGTCAGTCATATTATGAAAATAATAAGAATCACTTAAAAAAGTTTAAATCCTAATTATACAAATATCTAAACTTCATACAGATAAAATTATTATATTAATAACAACTTTCAAATCAGCGACAGTCACAAATTGTTTTATCAAAGCGTTCAATAACATAGTTTACTATCGAAAAATGTATAATCGAACTGACATTACTATTTTGTACCGGAACAGAATACTAATGTAACAAATTTAAATTAAAATACATTGGTAGCTAATATAAAAATTACTACTTCATTTGTATTCGGCTGGCGATTCGTGAAAATGTATAAAAGTTTGAAAACCTACAGTGGAATTACTCTGTCCATATTTATTTGCAAAACACTCAGGAACGGAGAATGTTAATTTAATAAACAAAATATCAAATTAAATTTTCATAATTTTTTTGATGTGCAAAATATTTATACAGTGTTGTTCACCCGGACACATACGACACGGAGTATTGTAGCTAAACGACTAGGTTTTTACAAATTCTAAGTTTTAGGTTCGTTGAAGGACTATTAGAGCTACAATTTAAAAATATTTTTACAAGATACAGAGTGTCCCAAGTAAATAAAAAATCTCAAAGTTGTATTTTTTTAAATGAAACACCCTATATATTATTACATTTTTAGTTTCTACGATTAAAATAAAGGTAAATTTGATTAAGGTTTTTTACACTTAAACCTTGCCGTTTTTGAAATATTTTCAATTTTGTGAAATTGCGGTATAAATTTTAAGGCTTCATTTCTCCGAGGTCATCAAAGTTTTTAATACTAAATATTTACTGAAGTTTATTTATTGATCAGTTATTGTGTTGCAATAATAAAAACTTTACTACCTTATACAGAGTGTCTAAAAATTTATTTTAAATAATTACTAGCTTTAAACGGCAATAACTTGCTTAATTTAAATGGAACACCCTGTATATTTTATGAAAATCGGATGCACAATTTAATTGTCTATCAAATTGTATTATACCACTTTTTACCTATCTCTTCAAATTTCCGTAGAAAATGCATTTTCTTGTAATTTAGAACTCATTTATCAATATACCCATGGAAAACTGACATTTTAGATTATTTTTAAAGAGTACAGATACTAATATTGTCGATATAGTTCGTTTATTTCATTAAAAAATAAAAAAAAACTAAAAAAAAACACATTAAAAATGATATTTAATTAAAAGTAACACATTAAAAATGATATTTAAGTTTTTGACAAATGCTTATTTATAACAACAGAGACGTTCATTTTCATAACTTATTATTATATTGAATTCTGATTCAAATCCACATTTATTTAGAATAATTTATTAACGAACATAATTAAGTATGTAGTTAATTAGTATTTGGGCGGAAATACTGGTGGTATATTTAGCCTGTACATTTTGTACATTTGTTATTTTAAAAACAATCTAAAATGTCAATATTCCATGGGTATATTGATAAATGAGGTGTAAATTATAAGAAAATGCATTTTCTACAAAAACTCGGAGGAATAGGTAAGAAGTGGTATAATACAATTTGATAGACAATTAAAGTGTGCATCTGATACTCATAAAATATACAGGGTGTTCTATTTAAAGTAAATAAGTTATTGCCGTTTGAAGCTTGTAATTATTTAAAATAAATTTTTAGACACTCTGTATAAGGTAGTATAATTTTTATTATTGCAACACAATAACTGATCAATAAATAAACTTCAGTAAATATTTAGTATTAAAAACTTTGATACCCTTGGAGAAATGAAGCCTTAAAATTTTGACTACAATTTCACAAAATTGAAAATATTTCAAAAACGGCAAGGTTTAAGTGTAAAAAACCTTAATCAAATTTACCTTTATTTTAATCGTAGAAACTAAAAATGCAATAATATACAGGGTGTTCCATTTAAAAAAATACAACTTTGATATTTTTTATTTATTTGGGACACTCTGTATCTTGTAAAAATATTTTTAAATTGTAGCTCTAATAGTCCTCCAACGAACCCAAAACTTACAATTTGTAAAAATCTAATCGTTTAACTACAATACTCTGTGTCGTATATGGTGAACAACCCTGTATAGATTTTAATTTAGTAAGTCTAATGGTGAAGATTTCCTTTTCTTTTTAGCTAGAACAATTCAGGTGAAAATGTAATTTTATATTGTTACTAATAAAAATAATAATAAAGATCATTAAATTTGTCAGTAAAGTAAAAATTAGGTCTGCAAATATACAAGGTGCCCCATTTTTGTGTGTTTTACAATTTTGCTTTTCCTCATGTTATCTTAATATTAGGTCTTCATCGATTTTACCTCAGCTTAAAGTCTATTTCGAAAGAACATTTGCAGTTCTACAATATTCAAGAGGGTATCCGTCAAAACCGGTGCAATGTTAAATTTGAATGGCATGCTGGAGCTTGTCACCAAGAAATTCAAAAACAAACAAACAAAACACATTCTTTGAAAAATACAACGTGGTAAAACAATTCGCTGTTCGTTAAATGACAAAAGCATTTAAATATTTAACGTTGAAGTAGCGGAAAGCGTTTGTGAGAATGATATTTTGTTTTAAATTGAAGATAAAACAACATAATATTCTTATTTTCAGTCGTGGTACGATTACAAATTAAGATGGGAACCTAAGGAATATGGCGGTGTACATATGCTGCACGTGCCCTCGGACCATATATGGAGGCCAGATATAGTTTTATATAACAAGTAAGTAAGAAATCATTTATATACATTAACTAATTGAAGTATGACTTAAGTTTGCTTTTAAATTTTGGGTAATACATTATATAACTTTATAATAGCTCTGATAATGTCTCCTTTAATCCTTTCTTTTACAGTTTCATAGCATTTTCAGAATCTGCAGTGCTGTTCGCTTTTGCTTCATCTAATCACATTACACTCATAACACATGCTAACATGTTTTACACAGTAATAATTTCCTTTTTTTATTTCATTTCACAATTATCAAATAACATCCCAAGTAGCATCTATCTGACTTCGAACTAAATATGACCTGAAGCGACGTCAGACTTTGTGCAAATTTAGGTCGGGTGTTGGTGATACGACCGGTGACGTCGCTTTCCTATTAAAAGCGACGTCGTTGGATCCGAGTCGGTAAATCCAACGATCTGTCCACGTACAAAATGACAACGTACCATTTTTATTAATTTCCCAACGTCGTTCCCACGTTGGCTTGCACGACGTACATATACTTGAACTAGCCCGACGTCTACCCGTTGTCCGAATAGGATACGTCTCACTGATAATCCCTAAAGTTACGTCCAATTATATTTTGTTGTATTTTATGTTCATATTTATAACCTAATTTACGTATCTCTATTTACGTCCGTAAATACAACCCATTAAGTAGCATTTGCGACATAATGAACATCATGAACATAACCTAATAAAAAGTTTTTTTAAACAAACTTATTTTTTTTATTATGCCTAAAAAACACTAAAAATGCATTTAGACATTCATCTACATTTTACAGAAACAGGTCGAGGCTTTTGCAAAATAATAATAGTAGTAGTGATGTCTTGCCTCCACCAATAAATGCTTTTTATCCGGAAGATCTTATATTAATTTCATTTTTTAGCTAAGGAAATCAGCAGACCCCATCCTCCTCCCACATGTGAGGTTAGGCTTAAAAAAGTGGCTGCCCAATTTTTTTATGGAGAAAACAAAAACTAAAATATAGTTGCACAAATCCACAAATCACTGATACGCAAAGTGAGGTTACGTGGCGTACGTTGGAATTATATACGTCATAATACGATTGCCGGTCGTCCGGTTTGATGACTTCGGTCGTGTGAGACGACTAATATTGAGACCCGGTCGGAATTGGTATATTGGTAGTTCATATTAAGTCGGACACAGAAATCCGCCATTCTTAACAAGTATCCGATTGTCAGCCATTTTAAAATCGTTTTTTGTTTTTAAAATTTATATTCACATTTCGATTTCTAGTAGAATAATATTGATAAGGTTGTGTTTGGGGGGAACCACAGTACAGTTTTATGATTAAACCAGCTAGAAAATTAAAAAAATATTTTGCGAGTTACTTTTTTATAGATATTTTTATTTCATAAATCTACCTAATTTTGAAGGCGCTCGTTGTTTTCCGGAGTATTTTAATCAGATATATCAAAAAAGTGATTTCCGTTGACAAAACTGATGTCTGGATTAATGATTCAGAATTATTATAATATGAAATTAGATAGGCACTTATAGTTCTATTCGAAGAGTGACTATGAATCCATTTGTAATTAGGTAGTTTGGTTAGGTTTTTATGTACTCTTGGTAGCGAATATGAAACCAAACGTAACGTAAGTGCTTAGCGACGAATTTTAAGTAACTAAAATCCAACGTAATATGACGTTGGTAATTGGTAGAATTACATTCCCTATTAGGTCAGATACCGACGTCGAGGCGACCCGAATTTCAGGCGGTCGAACCTACGTTGGTACCCGACGTCGGGTTTATTGAACGCGACGTATACCCGACGTTAGATAACGTCCAAATGCTACTTGGGATATTACTTCTTTCCATAGATATTTTTGTCCAATTTAGCTAGATGACATAGCGAGTAATCCATTTGTTTAGAGCCATTTTTTTCAATTAGTTTAATACATATATTGTGAAATATTAATTACTTTAGTTCACAAAAGAACATCTTTGTAATATCGGAAGCATTATCTTAACACAAAGTTAAATTAAAAATTATGGAAAAAGTAACGGTGAAACTAAGAAGTAGATGTTTCAATTTATTTATCCAAGTATACAGGGTGTCCCACAATAAGTTCATTATACACATTTTACTTCTATACAAAAGTGCTTCGGTTCTTCGCTGGAGAGCATCAAACTTTAAAAAAAACATATTGTTTAAGATTTTTTAAGAGCTTTAACCATTGACATTCGCTAAAAGAAACAAGAAAAAGTACGGGTAGGGTAAAAACTACCCCCACCCCTACATAAATTTTAGGTAATAAATACAGGGTGTCATTGAAATGGTGTAAAAAAAAGTCGGGGGTGATAGTACTTCTAAAAATAGTAAAAAAAGTTCCTATAAGTATAGGGTGGAAAATGCATATTAAGGGAGTTAGGAGCACTGAAAGGGTAAATTTTAAAAACGGTTGTTTTGAAATTGTAGGCTCAAAAAACGAGATAAAATCTCGAAAAAAAATTTCCTACCATAAATTTTGACCCTAAATCAAATGGTGATAGTGAAAAATTATTTGGAAAACCGAAAAGGGTAGTTTTCGCAAGGGTAGGGGGTTGTTTCGCGAATAACGTTTTCAAGGTTATTTTTTTTGCAACGTGGATTCATTTTTTGAAAACTACATACCCTTTCCTACAAAAAAAGATACTCTTGTTGTACATCGCCTAGAGCGATGGTTTTCGAGAAAATTGAAGGCAAAGATGGGTTTTGCAATTTGCTCTGATGGGTTTTCCGATTTTTTTTTACACCATTTCAATGACACCCTGTATAGGTACCCTAAATCTCATTCAAATCCGAATACTGATTCTTAAAATATCTGAAAAAATGTATTTAATATTTTAAAGTTTGTTGCTCTTTAGCGTACAAACGAATCACATCAGTTGTATAGAAGTAAATTGTATCCAATGAACTTATTTTGATTCCAAAAACACGTAGTAGTTCTATGTCTACGGAATATTGGGACACCCTGTATATTTAAAAGCAATATTCAAGTTTCATACAATATCTTGTAAGAAGAAAAAATTCTTAAACTGATTTTGTTCTAGTAAAAAATGAAAATGCATGTTTTAAGAGTCGTCTCTTATTACAAATTTAAAATATTTTCGTTTTTTTTGTAAAATTACTATTTGTGAGCAACGTAACATTATTTGCTGGCACAATGCCAGCGTATGAAAGTTAGATAAGTACTGTAAAAGAGAAATGTAATTTAAAACTCTATTTAAATATCTACTGGTTGAAATAATGGAGAAAGATGAAGAACAAGCAAGGCAATGGCAAAGCAAACGGGCACGTTTCAACGGTTTCTAAAAGTTTTTAATTTATCTTAAAGATTTTTTAAATGCGATTCCTTTGTTCTCGCTTAGCGTAAATTTTAAAGGGCATCAAAAGATATTTTTAGCATTGTCGTCGTCAAAACGTATCTAAATTTAAATGTAAAAATTTGTAGTTTTAATTTTATAACGAGTCATAATGGCAAGAAGCCTTTTGTAAATTTTAATTATTTATCGAAAGAAAGTAATAATGACATTTTGTTCTAGACCTGTATAATATCATCTAAACGAAAAGTGTTGTAATAATATAAAAAAATATTACAATAGATCTAAAAACTACTAAAAAAAATATGAAAATCGGGTGAAAATAAGACAGATTAAAACGCAAAATATGACAAAACATTTATGGTTGCAGAATTTTTTGTCGGGGAGTGTATTAACTTAAAAACATTTGTAATTATCTAAAGCGGAACTGTAATCAAGTGCATTTGTGTGTGTATGTGCCGATTTTACTGCTAGAACGTTCGGGGATTAATTTAAATAGATGTTGGATGGGTAGCCAAGCAGATAACTTTTACGTGGGCAATCCTTAAACCGCAAACCTCGTAAATAGTAAATAATAAACAGATAAACACGGCCAGAAACAACATTGTAAATTTAACGTGATTGGTTTTGTGTGTGCTCGAAACATTGGAGGATTAATGTATAAATACCGTAGTAACTTCAAGTAATAAAAATGAAAATAAAACAAAGGTTTTGATATATTATCATATAGAAAATTAAAATTAAGTAAATCGAAAAATATTGTATCTGGCTTTGGTTTACTACTCTCAATTTTTTACTAGTAAAAAGCCACCGGCAAGTTAGTTTTCGTTTGGATTCTATGCAGTGGTATTTAGCTTTTTGAAAGAAATGAACCGGACAATGTTATACAGGGTGGTAGAAATATCAAGCAAATACTAAACCAAAAAAAATCGAGAAACTTCAGAAGCATATTCTACAGATAAAAATAAGTAAAAAGGTTCGTATTAATTTATTTAATTTTTATTAAATATCCTAAAAGAGTGTAGAAGTTTCATTTTTACTTCGATTTTTTCCAAATAATTTGTGAAGTAGCATCGATAATTATTGGATGAAAATTCAATTATTATTATTCGTTTCAGGCAAATAACTATCTTGTTAACATGTTTATTTTTGTTAGCGATAACCATGTATTGATTATTTCAATTCCAAATATCTTGAGAACGGTTGCTAGTAACGATTTTTACCAAGAGACTTTTTTTCCGTAGAAAATAGATGAAACGCATATTTTTTTACTAGTAAGGATTAAAAAGTAGTAAGTCAGATTGACATAAAAATCAAATCACTTGTGTCGAAGAACATCCAGATGCCAATTTTCATCCAAATATTTGCGTTAGTTCATAAATTATTTGGAGAAATTCGAAATAAAAAAAACTTCTACACCCTGTATCTCCGAACTGGAGCATTTTTAGACATAAATTTATAGGAACTTTTTTACTAATTTATACAGGGTTGTTCACCACATACGACACGGAGTATTGTAGCTAAACGATTAGATTTTTACAAATTGTAAGTTTTGGGTTCGTTGAAGGACTATTAGAGCTACAATTTAAAAATATTTTTACAAGATACAGAGTGTCCCAAATAAATAAAAAATATCAAAGTTGTATTTTTTTAAATGGAACACCCTGTA